GTGGGGGAATTGAGTTTTGGAATTATGGTGTTAGCCGTATCCACTAGAATGTTAGGGACAGAGATGTTCAGGATGTGATTTGGACCATTGGTGCAGTCGAAGGGCTTTCAATTTCATTTGGGATAGGAGGGGTTTGTTCTATGATATTGGTTTGAGTAGGATTTTTAGAAGTGGGAAGAGTCCCTTTCTGGTTCTGGGAAGGGGGGCGTGGCCTGCGGCTAGAGGTTCTTCCTCACTGAGGAAGATAGGTAGGTACTTGTTCATGATTTGGGTTTAGGGTACTGTTCGAAGAGGTGATTTAGGGATTTGTAGAAAGAGCAAAGAGAAGGTCTCCTCTAATATTGTATCTTTAGGTTGAACAACTTACCCCTCAACTAAAATAGGAATAGTTTCCGGATAAGTAGCCGAGGCGTTAACTTGAACACATACTTTAACATAAGTAAGTCTAGATTTGGAGGTAGTGAGGGCATCTACAGCAAGCAGTTACCCAATTTTAGTGGTTATTTTAGAGATTACATGAGGGGTTCAACAACAAAGTGAAATTTTGTAGATTTTCAACCATATAGGAACATAAGTGAACTCTTCACATTTCGACGAGAAGTGCGAAGACCACTTCTGGAAAAGAAATGGTTTGCCAAGAACAAACCAAGCACCTTTGGACCAAACAAGTTCGTAATCCTCAGCGCATGATAATTTGAACAAGAAAAATCCATCTTTAAGAGAGATAAGTTTGAGGTTACCTTCAAGCTTCCAGATTTTCCGAACAACATTGAGCAAAGTCTCATAATAAGGTATTTTACCTAAGGAGTATACAACAAGCGCCAGATCCCACTCCTCGCAAGCTGCAACAACATCTTTTGTGGGAAAATTTATAATATCATCCGAAGTAGGAAGGGGAGAAATAGAAAAATCACATGGATCTAGGTCACCGGAGAGGATGCGGTCCCAAGGTAAGGGATTTGAAGTTCCAACAGGAGGAGGAAGTGAAGAGGAAGGAATAGGAGGGAAAGAGATGTTGTAAATGGAGGGATCCAAGGGGATCCCTCCAGCAGCTTCAAAGAGGAGCCCCAAAAGAAACGAGAAGGAGAGAAAAATATGCCTTTTTGCGATTTTTGCATCGATTATAAGAAAAGGAAAAAATTAGGTCAGAATTTTCTCATTTTATTTTTTAACTCTTAAATTTTGTAAACACTTTTAAATCAACATAAAAAATTATATTTATTACGAATCTTGATGTATATTGAAATTGAGAATTTTGTGGGTGCTATATGTTGATGTAATAATACAAAGTGATTGGTCTTTGTTTATAAGCTTAAGCATTTGGGTTCAATATGATTTGGTTATTTGTACATTTGGTTTTCCTTTGATCTCATTCTGAATAATTCTCCATAACAAATTATATCAAAGCTCACAACTTGGTTGGAATCAAATGTAGTTCATGTGATTTTGTGTTTCCCATAGAGCTTTCTTCCTTCTTATTATTGTTGAACAATATTTAAGAGCTGATGACTCATAAATTGGCTCTTCGTGCATGATACTTAATGATGTTGAAAGCCTTCATTTGAGGAACAATAATGGCTGTGTAGAGAGCTCCATATAAGGAAAATAATAATAGATATATAATGAGAAATTAATTTAGACACACATCAAATAATAGTTGATATTAATATATAAATATCTAATGATTAGCCCCCACCTATAAACTTAAACTTTCTATTAAATATAATCTTAACCACTAATTTATCAAAATCCAATTTTAATCCATTTTGATTAATTCTCCCGCACAAACACGCCTATTCTTTTTTACTTCCATCTAAATATTCGTACTTTCTTTGTATTTCAAAATGATGCATCTCCTAGGTTAACAAACACGATGATTTCATATTAACTTATTAAATATAATCTTAACCATTAATTTATCAAATCCAATTTTAATCCATTTTGATTAATTCTCCCGTACAAACACGCCTATTCTTTTTTACTTCCATCTAAATACTAGTACTTTCTTTGTATTTCAAAATGATGCATCTCCTAGGTTAACAAACACGATGATTTCATATTAACTCATTTTTATAAGGTAATAAAATCATCATTTTTAGAATGTTTTGAAGAAATATGTGATATTTCAAAACATTACTTGCATTAAGTTTAGAGTTTTATTATTTTGATAAAAAAAATGATTTTTAACTTCAATTAATTCATTAATATGTCAAAAGTAATGAATTGGACTACAATTTCAACATAATTATTTGAAAATATTATTATAAGTCACTTCATTTTTATGAATAATATTAGTCAATATGTCATTTCCTTTTAACTATTATGCTAGCTTACATGTGATGGTCTTTTATCATCAAGAGACCATGTCCTTAGATGGTTGTTTGAAATTAGAAAAAAAAAATGGAAATGATAATGTTTAGTAAATTTATTATTTAGCTGAATATTTGATTGGAAATTAGGTTAAATTCCTTAGAACTCCATCAAAATAATATTTTTTATTTTTCTAGTTTAAAATGATTGTAAATTAAATTAGTATTTTTAAAATACATTTTTGTATTTGAAAGCTAACCAATGAGCTCCTAGAGGACATTGTTGTGTCAATTTAGATATAAGTGTTAATATTTTGTTATAGAGGGTCTATTTAATGTCATCTTTCTTATTATTTTACTTCTCATATCATTGTTATACATTTAGCTTCATTGCTATTTTATTGTTGCTTTTTAAAAGTTTTTGCCTTAGGAAGATACTTTTTATAGTCAAATCTATTAATGTATGATAACAATAAAAAGCTGCTAACTAATTTGTCAAAATATAGATTTTTCATAAAATATAATTATCTATAATAATTTTAAAAAAAATTAACGCCCCCAAACAAATCATTGATAATAAACTGTTTATTCTCTTTATCTTTCAGAATGAATTTGAGTTACCCAAATAATTGTGCTTAGATATGGTTACAGACCCAGGTCTTGTCTATTTAAAAATTATTTTTGTGGCCTTATCTCCTCATTTCTTCAACAAATGTTTCGGTCATCATATTCTTATTAAAAATATGTTAAGAAAGGTAGAAGTAGACCTAAAAAGACTTGGTTAAAAAATATTAGAAATGATATTTCTTTATTATATTTAAATGAGAATTTGATTTTTAACAGGACACAATGGCGAAAAAGGATTTATGTAGTGGACCCCACTTAGTGGGACAAAGGCTTGTTGTTGTTGTTGTATATTCTTATTAAAAAGGAACTATAAATATAACTGGACACAATGGCGAAAAAGGTTTCATGTAGCCGACCCCACTTAGTCGGACAAAGGCTTGATGTTGTTGTTGTTGTTGTTTATTAAAAAAGAACTATAAATATAAATAAAGATAAGATGAAATATATGTAGAATATAAATAATATGTATTTTATATTAATATATATTTATTTATTTTCTATCTATTAAAAACAGTGTCTAGCTTCCTTTATTAATAGATTCTAGATAGCATGTAGACTTTGATTAACTTTTTTAACCCAATAATTTTAACATGAATCCAAAAAATAAAATATAAGAGCTTAAATTAAACTCATCTTAAGTGTTTAATGAGTATTTGAAGAAGAATGAGTAAGGGAACCATTATAATTAGCAAGGTTCTAAAAATTGGACCGGACAACTGACTAGAAGAAGAAGAGGTTCACGGTTCGAAAATTATTAAAAAAATATATTGTATAGTGTATATATGAAACTAGAGATGGTTTTTTTGTTTTATATGATTTAGTCTCGCATCACTTGAGAAATTTTTCTTTGTATAGTTTATATAGCTTTTTTGCTTTTGCTTATGATAAGAGCTCATATGAAGTAATAAAGACATATGAGATTGTTGAAATTAATATTTAATCATGTGTTTAATACAAATCTGATGCCCTAGAATCTAATTTGGAAGAATTATTCATTTATTTTCTAAGAAAAAAGAACCAAATATTTATTTTCTAAGAAAAAAGAACCAGAGCTACATAATATCATCTATCGGCAGGAAATAATAAAACAAATTCTATAATTTAAAACATCAATGCATACATCTATATTTATTCATAAAAATCATATACACCACTCATGATCTATACAGTCATATCATAATTACTCTACCTGAATATAAAAAAAAAACAAAGAAATAGAACCTCAAGAATCATGACCAGCCTCACACTCATATTCTCCTTCCATGTTCTGAAATTATTTAACCACATATAATGAGTTTAAAAAGTCGAGCAGGTCTCCAAAACCTACAACTGAATTCAAAACACGATAACGGAGTAACATGCATATCGACAATCAAATCATAACATTTACATTTATATGATCATTGAATCAGGACAAAAATAGTAAAATTCACATGCATTAGTAATATAATCTATAAACAATAAAATACTATAACATGGAAGCTTGTAAAGTAGTAAACTAGTACTAGTGTGAAATTTATAAAATAATCGTCATATCTGTAATCCCAATTAGTAAAAAATCGGATAAAGTATTATATCAAAAAATCAGTAAAGACTATCGAAATCAAATTAATATAGTAAAATTATATAAGAATGCATACATGCTATCCAGTTATTTTATATCAGTATCATATCAGTATTCTACATATTCAGTATGTCAAATGCTTATTGTATTGTGAATTAGTAGTATCAATAACAATAACAATCTAGTGGTATGAACAGTAGAATAATACAATAACAGTAAATCCATGCAATAACAATAAAATAGTACAATAATAATAAGAATAATGTCTCAAGAACATGTATTTCAGTAGTCACACTAAGGGGCTGTTTGGTTTTGTAGAATTAGGAGTGTAAAATAATTGACTCACGCGCATTTCATAAATTATGTCGTTTGGTTGATTTTGAGCGGAAAGTAAGGAATTCCTCCAGAGCATCAGCGGTGTATTACATGAGGTCGTTCGTGCGACTTTGAAACACACTCAAATTGAGCGGGTTTGAAATCCTCTGGCCGACATGCTGCCTTATGAGCGAGAGCGACTGGCCGGCGGGAACGCGGTTCTTGGCGCCGAGGATGTTGCCGGCGTTTAGATGCACGATTTCTTGGAACCTGCCGTGCACGTGATAGTTGCTCTTGTTTTCTTGCTTTCCAACAGTAATGTGCTCATCTTCTTCGTCACGTTTCTTTTTCACATCTACCATTTTCATTCTGCCACTTTCACTTTCTCTTTGAAACACCATGAATTCCGTTATGGCCGACTAAATCGTCTCTTTCAGTCTGCAATGGTGATCGTCGGTACTTTGCTTTTGCTTCGTTTTTGTGGTTTCCGGGTCTTCCAGGTGCGTAATTTCTCTTCTAGTTCTGATTTGATTTGAAGCTGGCATCTTTGATAGATTAAGCTTTGGTCTTGTGGATCTCAGCTGGATCGGTCGCTGATGCTCGATTATGCATGCTTCTTACTTTTTGATCTATTTCGGTATGCTGTTTAAGCTATAGTTTTCTTGGAGATGAGGGATCCGCGTTTAGCGGGTGGGTATCAGCCTAACTGGCAAGAGACTTGATTGTAGGGTTTAATTGATTTTGGAGAAGTCTAGGGAGCTTAGTTGCACTTTCTCCTTGTGCTTTATAGGAGATTAAACGCGATTTAATTCACATAGCCAATGGTGGTTTTCCTTAAAAAATTGTCTCTGATGTAAGATTTATATTGAAACCTCCTTGTTTTTTAGTTGCAATAAGATCCTATTATTGAATAAGATCTCTGTCCTGGCAGTTACCCAAGCTTGAAGTTTTTTTTTAAAGATTTATTTGCCTTTTATGCCCAATACTTAACCTTGTTCTTATATATGGTGTTTCAATATGTAGATATATCCCTGTTTTCTTTTTCTCTATGTTTAAGACAGACCTTTTTTACTTTTACCAGGTTATTGTTTGCTTATATTGCTCCACTTTTTAAGCATTTAAGAGTTGGATTTCATTAAAATAAAACAGGATTAGAAGGCAAACTAATTGAAATTGGCAATGAAAAGCTTCGTGCGCAGAATTTGAGTGCTGAAGGAGGCTTTTCTTGTATCTTGCTCATGATGTTTCAAATGTATCCAAGCAATATGCTCTCAAGCACATGGTATGCCAAGATGGGGAGTCACTTGATCTTGCAATGAAGGAGATCAAAGTGATGAAACTGTATAGGGATAGTAATTGGTATAACAATTTTCGTTAATGTTGTTTACATCTTAGGTATTCTTGCGACATTGAAACCCGCTCAAATTGAGCGGGTTAGAAATTCTTTCTATCAGGCTTTATTCGGCACTGTCTCAGCCATGTTCATAAAAGGGCTTAATTTATATGATCTTCAAATTTAAATATATTGGGATGAAGCAAAGCTTCATGCATCTCCTTCGTCAACACCGTTGCTTACTAGCGTTGATGGGGACTTGTCAGGAGAAGCTTCGACGGCGTGATTGTGCTAACTCTACTGGATAATTTTGATACCTACAGCTGATTTGCGATTGTGAATGTATCCACATATAGCTTTTTTAATACTCCGGTCCTTTCTTAATTGTGTTCTAGCTAGATTTCCTCGCTTCACTAACAAATATACTTCTCTCTTATTTATCCTGTTAAAAGTGTTTACTTTATAAAACTTCGGAATAGCAGCAGTAATCTTCTGTTTAGATTCAGTGCTTAGTCTTTTATTAGCTAATTTTACTGACCTTATCATTGAAAAGTGTATTCATTTAACCCTTTTGGTTTCAATCAATTTTCTGTCCTTTGGGCAATAACATTTGATAATTATATATCCAATGCTTTGACGCTTTAAGCCGACACATTACCTGAAAATTTTAATAAGAATTAAAAATTTGGGTGTTATATAAATATTATAAGGAGTTATTTATCAAATATGTAAATATAAAAACATTATATGTAAATTTTTTTTTAAAAAAATTATATTAATATAACTTGCTGGTATTATTTGTTGAAACATTAACAAAGAGAAGTTGGAAGTATAACAGCTAATATACTAAGAATTATGTCAGATATCATATGATAGTTGTTGGTTTCAAAGTCCTATTTATAAGAATGAAAAAATATCTAATTTTATCAACTACTGTTTAAGCTAATACATAGACCTTCTTAAGGGTTTAATTGTTGTCGTAATTTAGTAGGTATGATTACATTATTGCTATATCCTTTTTACTTGTATTTGTCAATTATTAAATGCATGTGTTGCTAAATAAATTGTTCATTCAACTTAGGAAGATTGTAGCTGATGCTTTTTATAAATACACTAGTTGTAATGTCAAAATAAATTATTACAAAAAACTGCTTGTACTTTACTCTAGTTCTACCTAACCAAATAAGCGAAATAATTCTCCTGCATTTATTTTGCAGACAACCAAACAGTCTCAAAGTATTCGGAATATACTACATTTATTTTATATTGCATTTACTTTACACTGTATTTGCTTTTCAAGCAACAAAACAACCCCTAAATAAGTAAGAAATCCTGACTATCACGGTGTTTTTCAATAATATATCAATATCAATAAACTTTTGACTCAATAAATCGAGTCAACATTTTTTACTCGTCAGCACATAATTATCTTCTTATAACTCCCAATTAGTATCACGTGAACCAGTAGAGGATAACACCAAATCACAATATTTAAAGGAAAGTCCGTCGGCTCACCTTCCTATACAAGTCAATTAGTCTCCATTTTAATCAGTCTTTATTTGTCTTTTACATACATAGTAGTATCATAGTACTATAATAATAATTTTAATCATATATCCACATTCATTTCCAATGCATTGCAAAAAATAAAATATAATTTAGCTAAATTTAGAAAATATCAAAATGTCATAATGGTAGACAACAATGAATCATATTTTTCTAATATAACATAATTCACATTTTTCAGTAATAAAAATACAAATTTGATTAGAAAAATATCAAAAACATAAAATCTTTGAAATAAAAAATATGATAAAAGTTCTTTACAGCGAGACGAGCAATTTTTCCAACAGACTTAATTGACAAAAATAGCACCACGGCCTCCAAATATCGATTTCGTTTTTTCTCTCCTAAAAATTCTCTCTTAAATTGTTTTTCTCATTTTGTGTTTGGCTAAACGAAATGGGTTATAGGATTTTAAAAGGTTTTTTTAATAATGCTTTAAGATATTTTAATTAAAATAATAATTTAATCAAATTTTTAGTATAAAATTCAAATAAATCATTTTAGGACTTTAAAACTTACATAAAAATATCCATAAAATAAAACATATTATTTAGAAGATATCGGTGAAATCGCTTCTCCCTTTTAATCTTGTGGATTTTTTTACTATTGATAACTCCTTATTTCCTTCTCAATTTAGTTGAGTTTCTTCCCATCTGCTGTCACGTTCAATTCTCAATGATCCACCCAGTTTCTTCTCAACTTTTTCTAGTTTCATATAAATGAACATCAAATTACTTCTCAGCCTTATCAAGTTTCCTCTTGTTGAGCGTCAAGTTTCCTCTAGTTGCGATTTCAGCATGTTCAGCCTTTTCCCTCCTTTACATTAGGGTGTCACAATCGGGTTTCGGGTGGAACTCTAAACAAATCCGGATTTAAACGGGTCAATCCTAACCTGACACGATTGGACGGAGACGCGCCACGGCTGGACGACGGACAACGAGGCTCTGGTCAACGGCGGGATGGCCTCGGACGCAATGCGAGGGCGGGCGCAGGGGGTGTGATGGGTAGCCTCAGAAGCACGATCAGCTGGTTTCGAACAGGTTTCTGGGTTGATTCGTCCGGTTTCCGGGTCAACCAGAACCCGACCCATTTTTTAAATTGTGTCGAATCCGGAAACTCAAACCAGATCCGTTTGCGAAACCGGTTGACCCTAACTCGATATTTTCGTATTGGATTTTCAAGTTGTGTCAAATATTGACACCCATGCTTGACACTCAACAATGGCTCATCATCTAGAGTTGGCACCATGCCAACTTTATTCCATTCACCACATTGCCGTCCTTTCTTCGTCTTGGCATCAACCCCTTCTTGAAACCTGTAATTAGAGATGCATGTTTGCTTAGTTTGCTCAAAATTAGCTACACCAATAAAATAATCTAATTCTAAATTTGAACCAAAATTTTGTTTGATTATTATGAATTTGCTCTAATTGAATCATAATACAATTAATTGTAATAATGAACATAATTAGCATTACCTTATATAGCATATATTAAGAATAATACAAGTTAATCATCAATAAAATTTAAATATTCTTGAATGCAAAATAAATAATATCCGTGTTGGCTTTCAATAACGAAGCATTAAAGTCAAAAAAAAATTTGTACTGGAAAGTTTGGGACGACTCTTTTACTGCTTCTTAAAATAACTTTTTAGTGTAAAAATTAATAATATTTGTACTAAAAAATTGCTTTAAGAAGCAATAAGAAAGCTGTCCCAAATAAGACCTTAGAGTAGAACTAAAATTTTCAATGAGACTAGTCTAATACCAAAAGTAATTTAATTTGACTCTAAGTGAGCCTAAATCAACATCAAAATGACTCATCACGCTTGATTTTCTATTTCCTAATAAAGATGTGCATAAGTTTAAGCATTAAATATAAAAAATTAAAAATATAATTTTATTAAGTGATATATACAATGGTTTAAAAACCGGACCGGACCGGCCGGTCCGACCGGTTCAACCGTGAACCGGTCTGAAAGCCGGTTCGGTTCAACCTGAGAACCGGCTTAGCATCGAACCGGCCGGTTTTGGCATGAACCGCCGGTTCAACCGGGGAACCGGCGAACCGGTCCGGGTTTCCCTAATAAAAATATGAGCATATTAATAATCATCATATTATATATTATTAAAGTTCTCAGTATTCTAATGTAGTAAGTATACTGTACACAATATAATTTTGCAAGTAGATAAATCATCCTGTAAACGGAAAAGAAAGACATCAGGCTCATTTCGAAAAAAAATGGCAGAGATCCGAATGAAAGCGGAAGAAGGAGCTGTCACTCCAGCGAATCCGGAGGAGCGAGCTCTCAACCCTTTCGCGGAACCCGGTTGGCGGGAGCTCGTAGAAACCCCTCGAGATAATTCTGAGTCAGGCGGAAATCTGCCAGAGAAGAAGAAAGTAGAGGATCGTCGCGAGATCTTTAGGGCACTGGAGGTTGTTGAGAGGAACTCTTCTGCTATTGCCGAGAGCTACGCTTCCCTCTTCTCCACGCTCCGCCTGGCTCTTTCAGAGGTATGCGCTGATGAAAATACCAATTTGCTGATGATGGTTATTCCTGATAGACATGTTTATACCCACATAACTAAATGACAGAACCAGGAGATGATCCGTATTCCCCCTTCACCTTTTTTGATGTTTTTGAGCTCTTGTTTTGCTGTAAAATACGTTGTACTACCGTATGTTTCTTTCTAATTAACACATCCGACTGTATCATTTATGACATGCAGGTTACTGGCAATTCAGTTGAAAACATGCAGTGTTTCAGTGATGTTGTTGGTTCATTACAAGTATCCTGTGAGATAAATTTCTTTTGATACCTTTCTGTTATTCTGTGAATTTCTTCCAAGAATCAATGTGCTCAATGCAGCATTTGTTCTTCACCATTACCACCTTTTATTTTTCCAATTCTAGATCAAAAGAACTTTGACAGGTACCCAAACACACATCAAAAGATGATTTTAGTGTTGACCCATGGATGACCTAGTTGAAAACAAATTACTAGTATAGAAGGTCATTGTTTAAAAAAAAAAACATTTGATACATATGACTTTAGGCGCGCTTCGAATTGAGGTGCACCAAAATGCTTCAAGGAGGCTTAATCTTTGCTGTCACTAACGAGGCTTAAGTCTCATTTTTTGCACAAGGCATTTTAAGAGACGCTCGATAAGGTTATGCTCAAAAATAAATTAATTATATTATATAATATTACAATATTAATATATATTATAGTATAATATAGCTTTGTCTATCAATTCACAACTTTTTAAACTTTTCTGGCTTTCTAGTTATCTTTCTTGAAGCTATCACAAGTCAGTTCATATGCTAAAAACATTAATCAAATCTAAAATTTTTTCTTAAAATCTTTTATGAGTAGCATGTTGATTGCTTACACTTTGCTTAATCAATTTTAACAAGCAAATTTTACTCATAAAATTATAGGTTGACAAGTCATTGCATAAACAGAAACTCTTAACAAATCATTTGCAAGCTCCCTTATTGCATCAAGGCTCTTACCACGATGCTCGCTGACTTGTCACGACAAACTGAGTATATACTGGAAGAATCAGGGACCATGGCACCAACATCAACATGCATAATGCATACTTTACTCAGAAAATCAATTTGAACAATGCAACATAACACATGAAGACTGAAAACGCTTTGGAACCATCATGAACCAATTAGATTTTATATGACAATAATAAGCAAGGGCTTCGTTTAATAATCCGGCACCTTTTGTAAAAGGTAGTTTCAAAAATGAAGTTTGAGGGAATAGATGTGTGAAACGGAGAAGCAAATATAAAAAAACTTCTTAAAAAATAGAAAAATAAAGTTCCCATAAAAACATATAAGCAGAAGCGTCGCATACAAACAGTAACAAAAAATAAATTATGCCATTTCGAAACAGAAAAGGTAAAAATAAGTCGAATCAAACAAGCCCAAGATCAATAGGGAAAGGACCTAACAAAATGCCAAATTCTTCACAACATCTAAGCTGTATATAATATTGTTTATTTCTCATTGAACATTTACCTACTATAAAGTGAAAATACTATATATTTTGACAAACGTTTGATGATTTTGAAGCGGTGTTGCCATCATTCATGATACGATTACTGCCTTTTTTAGTTTCATTGTTAAAGCTGTTGGTTATGCCATTTTTTTTGTTGTGCGGTGGCTTCTAGGATGGCAGCGAGGTTATGACAGATCAAAAGTAATTGATATGCGCGTGATTTTTGGTAGAATGCTGGGAAGGGATGTTGGCATTTTGTATTAAGATTTTGTTTAAAATTTTTGTGGTCTAAGGGGGAAAAAATAGCAAAATAGCAAAGTGCAGCACAAACCTCTAAATCTTAGTTAGGGTTCTAGACTAGAGAGTTTTGAAAGGATTATTGGCATAGATGGATGGTCAATGCACACTGTAGGGATGGTAAGGGAGTGTAACCAACATCATAATTTGGTGAATGAGAGGGAGAGCAGGCTAAGTAATGCATAAAAAATGTATTGCACTTCAGATTTCATTCATGAATTCATTTTAATGATCATAATATGAGCTTTATGGGTCTATTTGTAAGAAATTAACTTAAGCTTTGTTTATCTATGTCATGTCAAACTAGGTATTGAAAAAAGAAAAAAGAAAAAAAAGTATAAATTAACTTTAGTATTCTAAACATGTAAATGAAATAAAAAAGGTACAGATAAGAATTTTATTGATGTCACGGGGATATTATTTTACCATATTCTGTTTTTTAATTGTAGGGGAGTACTCTAAAAACATGTCTTTATTGGTGTGGTAGAAATAAAATTTTCCTACCAAGGCGCTTTGTGCACCAGCCACCAAGCAACACTTAGTCTGACTTGGTGGGATCTATTTTTGGTTCCAGTGTTCCGTACAATGTCCATATTTGTCTTTCTGGGATTGGTGAGAAAGCCTAATATGGTTTTAATTATCCCATTCATGGGGGTGATGTTGATTCCTTGGCAAAATTTACTTGAAAATTTTAAAGAAAAAGGAATCTTGAGGATAATGGCAAAGCATAAGCATGAACATTAGTTCTTGATGAAAAATAAGCATAAAAACCCATATTAATAGCAAAAATGAAAAAAGAATGCACAAAATTTGATGAACATGTCACATATGGGAATGCAAACACAAGCAAATTGGCAAATGAAAGCGAGCAAATTGGTGCTTCAAGAAGCTTGTATCACACTTGCATGCATTTCAATTAAATACTATGAAACATTGAGTTGGAAACAACTCAAAAGTTTCATGCCCAACTTTATACAAAGTAAATTGCACCATAAAGCGCACAATACAGGCTTTTTGATGAAGCACAAATCACCTCGAAAAACATGTAAACTTATTTCTTCCAAAGCAAGATCCTGATTGAAAATTGCATTAGCAATTCATCTTAGATTTAGTGTTGAAAAGCAATTTCACACTTGCATGCTTCATGCTTACCATTTTTTACTTTGGCAAAAATATTACCAATGATTTCTTTATTTCAAAGTCTAAAGACTTGATCAAGTATTTAATGTTTCTACTCGGGAACATTAAGGCCATATCTGATATGAAAGCTGCCCAATTTAGTTCCACAAAATAAAAGATTGTGTGATGATTTATCTACATATTTTAAAATCGAAAAAAGAACTACTCTAGTGAAAGTTAGTATGCATAGAGAATAAAAAAGGGCAGAGATCAGAGACAACGCTACTCAAAGGAGACACTTCAGTATAATCAAAAGAATTTGGCATTCATTAGAATAAAGAACTATGTAGTCTTTCCCAAGTCGTCCAATCACTCTCAAGTAAAATCAGTACTATCATACCCAACATCTGTCAAATCATGATCTATATACTGTTAGCAAACCCTCTGTCCTAGACATATTAGGCACAGCACCATCAAAATTTTCAGCACAATTGAGGTCAACATTAAAATGACCAGCAACAATTTAAAGCCACTAATGTAAAAGCAATGTCTCTCTAACCTTTCCGAAGGTCAAATCTCACTTCCAGTACAGTTAGCATAAAAAGAATAGCAAAGACATAATTCAACACTACAAAATCTTAATATGAAAAGATGGAGTTTGAACAATCCATCTCTTCTCTCAAAAACATTCAGAAATAAATAGAAAACATTGACATTATAGTATGACCAAGAGAAAATTTTAAGGTTATTAATAGAAAAGTAGGCTCCAAATTAACCCTTAATTACAATTCAATGCATAAGAATCAGTTTCTCTTAAACTTCTCCTATCTGTAACCTAAATGGAACATATGTTCCAGATTAACAAATTAATCATGGAAGTGACGAAGATTTAGCTTGGGTATGCCTCATGATGATTCTGTTTTGTGAAGCCAAAACTAGGTTTAATTTTTCTTAAAAGACATCTATCCGAACCCATCATCCTTAGAAAAAGGACATTTCAAAAGGTTTTACTACGAGTCATGGTGAAAGAGACGATTCAATAATAATATGATGACCTTCATTATCGACATGAGATTCATAATTGATAGTAAAATTTTATTTTTCTAGATAGGAAATTTTATTATAAGCTATCCATTACAGTAAAACACGAATTAATTGCAATAAATTGCTGAATGAAAATGGTAAAAACAAAATACACCATCAAGGCCACAACAAAGAATGGGGCATTTGTCATAAGAGAAGTACTCCAATGACCATCATTAAATATGTTTAACATGAAGTTTGACATATTTTGGAGAGTGACGATATTTTGTTTTTGTTATTTCTTCCCTTCTTGGAAAATAGAATTTGAAATGTATTGTCCACTAGCTCTTCTAGGCTAGAAATGCTAACTCATCATATAGAGAGTCACATTGCTATTATACATAACATTTAGATTATCATTAGGAGCAAAAACTTCTTGTGGATCTAAAGTATAATTTATATCATTATCAGCAATAGGCTTCGTATTCACGTTGTTTTTCTTTGAAATTATAAAAGCTTTCATCTTATCCATGCCAATTTGACCATTCTCTAAATTAGGCTCTACGAACCCTTTTAATAAGAAAATTATTATTGTGTTCAATAGGCTCCTCTGATGGTGTCCTTGAAGGTTTGGGCACACAATCCTTTTTTAGAAAGGCTATGATCTGCCATGTATATCCTAATATTAGTTATATTGGGTTCAAATCAAGTCGGCCTGATTCATTGAATCGTGATCAAGACTATTCGATCAAATAGCAACCTAAGGACCAAGTAGGCACAATCATCAAGTATTCAAGATACTTCCAATATTCAAAAATCACATTGAACTTGGGAAGAAACTTCATGTGGATTCAACCTCTATTAGGTAGTTATATGTACGATTTTTTTTGCTACAAGCCTCATTATTTTATAACAAGTACTTTTTAAGCATTGATATTTAATTTTATGTATATTGCATATATATAGCTATTTCTGTAGAGTCGAGCCTTGACCAAATCTATAAATAAAGGGTGAGCATGATATATTCATTCACTGGCTCAAGTTTGTACTTTCTTACCATCTAGTAAAATCTCAGATTTTCTCATTCTAAATTTTCTTTCTCTCTCTTAACTTTCTTTGTTTTCTTAGCCAATCTTAATAGGTAAGATTTTGGTGCTACCCACGTATAGGTTTGTTTCCAGCATATAATATGACCACAACCATAAATATATCTCTATCTAAGAGAGCAAATTTAGATTGATCTAGAGATGTAAGCATTAATTGTGGATGAAGATGAGAAACGAGTGTCAACTTCACGAGCATACATTCTACTATGGCTGAAATAGGATGGACATTTTTCAAAGACTGTCATCAGTAATTGTGCTGTTCTTTCCCGATCCAAATTCAAATTCATGATAGTTATAGTTTCTAACTCCAACATCCTAGTGGTGGAAGTAGGGGTGTCAAAATAGGTTTTCGGGTCGAATTCGAGTCAACTCCGAAATTGACACACTATTAATATGTGTGACCCAAACCTGACTGGTTTGTCCAAACGGGTTTAAAAACTACACCCAAATCTGACCCGACACCAACCTGACCTGCTGACCCAATTGAGTGCCACGGGCGACAGGGTGAGTGCGCGAGTAGGCAACAAGTGAGGGCGAGCCATTGGACGAGTTAAACGGGTTGCATTCGGGTTTGCGAGTTAACTCTAACCCAACTCGATATTTCAATTGGGTTGAAACTTTAAACCCTAACTCGAGGTATTTGTTAAATGGGTTGATCCAAATTTGGAATTTTTGGGTCGGCTCCATGTCAAATTTTTGGGTCGTGTCATATATTGACACATCTTGGTGCAAGGCCTTGAAAAAACAACAATAGCATTATCGACTCTTAAAGGCTTACCAAAACTCGAGTGAGGAGAATAAACTGGAATAATTTATTATTTGAATTCTAAGGTTTGGGAAGGCAAGCCAATGGCAACAACAAGAGGTTCTTTGGCATCAAAGCAGGAGTCCATTTTATAATTTTTACGGCGTTACATTTAACATAGTAAATCTTATGAAAAAAAGATAAGTGAATAGCTATTTTCTTTTTCAAGTCTAACAAGAATGTATTTTGCATCAACTCACATTCTTCTTTAACATGATTTATTTGAAACCAGTTTTTTTTATCGCTGCCTTAGTGTTCAGGTGTTAAAAAATTATTTGGTCGCCTCAAATTAAAGTTGAAGACCATAGTTTGATCATACAGCACATTTCTCTAATGTTAAGGCTGCATAAATCAACCTCTCTCAGATCATGCATTTGTTGAGTTAAGGTTGCATGCATCAACTTCTCTCAGATCATCCATTGGGGGAGCCTTTTGCACTAGATGAACCCTTATACTATAGTTTCTGATGAGGGCATCAGATTTCGCCATGTGTACCATCGCCGGGGACGACGATCGACGGCCCTGATTCAGAGTCTTTACCTATGATGCTTAGTTCTTTTCTTTTATTATTAGTTATTTCATGTTTCCGTTTGTAGTGTTACATCAGTTTCCTTGTGCCTCTTTTGGTGCATGCATGGCTTATGATCATGGAGCTCTGAAATATGGTGGTTGATTAGCTGCCTCATCTATTTTTTTTTTGGTTATTTGATATACCTTTTTTATGTTTCACTTGATATCTGCGTCTGTCTATCCTATATTACCATTTTGTTCGTTTTAGGAACCAAGCACCTTTGCATATGCTTGATAAGTGAATTTTTTTCTGCAGTAAAATTGTTTTGGGAATTTACTACATTTTTACATTAAACATAGTTTCTGTATGCTCTGCTGTACTATGTGAAAGCTTTCAAGAAATCTTTCATATAACATGTTTCTGCTTGGTTGTGCAGCACTGGATGCAGCAAGCAAAGGAAATCGATATATCAATTCATGCTTAAGGTTCTTCTCTAAATTCATCAATTTTGTTAGACTGCTTATTTTATAGCGCTAGCGGTATTGCACATATTTTAAGCATATTGGTTACATCATCTCTTACAAATTTGTATTCCACGCAAGAGGCTGCCTACATCAGACTATTTCCTTAAAATAATGATTCATTTAAACCTTGTAATGCTGCATTCAACTGTGATTTTATGCTGTATTGTTTTGTTGGTTAACTTTTATTCTTGTTTTCTACAATTGTAGAGTTGAAGATAATCCTTATCTTATTTTTAAACATCATTATGCCTTTGTGATTTAAGTAAGCTTGGTCACGAAACCAGAACTTATAAAACATGAGAACTGCAAAATATGAGGTCGAACCTCCTCGCTGCTCCTGAGTATTGATAGCAAATTAGGATTTCCAATTGTAGCAATGTCAATAACAGCCTTTCTATGCGATCAAATGAAGTATGAGATCAAAATAAGTGTAAAAGAAGATGGATAGAAAAAAAACCGAATTATAGTAATTAGGAGAGAGGAAAGATGCAAATTGGTTGGGCATGATTGTATCACTCACTTAAAAGTTAGAACTTCACACTTGAAAAATATGTAGGGCTTCACATTTGGGATAAAGAGATGTCCTTCATGAATAATTGGGTTTTCAATTATCTAACATGAAGAAAGAAGAAGATAACAACTCTTATAGGGTTAGGACCTACAAGAATCACTAAGATGCTACCTGAACCTAGGTAGAAGGCTGACAGGGTTGGCTTACTCAAAACCAATTCAGACAGAACTGTCATAGATATGATGCTAATATTGTGCATCTAGGAGTCAATGTACCATACATAATCAAATGTAGAGTGAGTTCTTGCTGAGAAAATGACATGACATAATGTGTCACGATCTGACCCGGTGAGCGTGGACATACAACCAGATATTACTTATGTTGAAGAACCAGATCGTATCTTGGAGCAGGGACACCTTTTGTTAAGGTTCAATGGAAGCATGAGTCGGAGAAGAATGCTACTTGGGAGAAGGAATCAGAAATGAGAAAATGATACCCTCATATCTTTGAGTAAGGTATGTTTTGTTTCCTCTTGTTTTAAATTTCGAGGATGCAATTTTTATTAGGAGAGGAGAATTGTAAAACCCGAAAACTGTCGATCGTATGCATCGCACGCATTTCGATGCGCTGCGCCAAAATTATATGAATTTTTAAAGTCGTCGAAATTCGACGCAATAAATTTTATAAAATTCTACGTGAAATTTTGATCGAAATGATATAAAGAACCTATATCAAATGTTGCACGAATTTAAAACTAAAATTCGTCGAATATGTTTAAGTAAATTTTAGCCATTTATACCCAAATTACCCTTCATGAGATATTAGGGAAGTATTTGGAAGAGGGGCACATGCGTAATTTACCTCCTAATTTTTCCTTAATTCCCCTCATCCGCCTAGGGACCGATTCCCTGTTCATTTCTTTCGACTGCACGCGTGAAGAGAGGGGGAGGACATCGGGTGGCTCGCAAAAGCCGGCGGCCGACGTTGGTTTCCAGCAATTTCTTTGGGAAAGATCAAGAGGAAGGCTTGGGAAAGTCTAAGGTATGATTTCTTGAAGGAAATGTTAAGTTTTCATATGATTTTCTTTAAAGGAAATTTCTAGGGTTTCTCCCAAAATTATTTTCCTCCAAAATCTCTTTACAAGAATGTTTACCCTTGCTATTAGGAACATTTTTATGAATTAAAATCCAAATTTCATGAGAAAAATTTTGAGTTTAGAATTGACCAACCATATGTTTAGCATTGTAGATATACTAATAGTTCCATAGAAAAGATTAGTTCTAAAAATATCATTAAAGTTAATCCAAACATTAGCAGCAATAGGGAAAGAAATGAAGATATAATTCCTATTATCCACATGATAACAATATTGGCACAGGGAGGGTGGTGTGAAACCTTTAAATGTTAAGTTGTCATCAGTAGGGATATATCTCTGCATATTTATCCAAATGAAAACTAAAATGGAAGAGGGGATACTTTTATGCCAAATCATTGAAAACACAGGAGAAATAACATTCTTGAGTCTAAAATAATTCAATGAATCTTTAATACTAAATTGACCCATTTTACAAAGCTTAAATAGTAAATAGTCATCAGTATCAACTTTAAGGGGAGTATTCATAATATAAGAAATATTAGATTGAGGGATTAAAGTGGCTGATTTGTTGATGAGGGGAATTAAAGGAAAATTTGGAGGTAAATTACGCATGTGTCCCTCTTCCAAATACTTCCCTAATATCTCATGAAGGGTAATTTGGATATAAAGGGATAAAGTTTACTTAAACATCTTCGACGACTTTTAGTTTTAAATTCGTGCAACATTTGATATATGTTCTGTTCTATCATTTACATCCGACATCCGTTCTCGTCTCGTCTATACGAGCTCACCAGACCAGGTCATGACATAATGGTACGTTTTATTGGAATATATGGTACATTATGCTGGAAGCAACCATCCGTCAATTAAAATGCCAAACTCCTAGGTATTTCCCGGATCAATATCACTATTGGCATTCATCAAAAGTTAAAGCATTTTCATATAATTAGATCATTATTCATAATTTCTCACTATAACGCTCAAAAAGGAAAATAAATACCATGCTTTTGCTTCCTCTTACGTCTGCTGACATGAAGTTCTGCATTAAAAGAAGGAAAAACAAACTGGCCTTTTCTCTTTTTCACCTTTTGTTTCCCAGCATTTTTATTCGCTCAAGTTTTGTCATTCTTTCCTACAATGCACTAGGTTCAAAGGCATGATTTTATCCTCACATGATAACTTGTTTTATCTAAAGTTAACTAAGCTCAGAATAAGCCATGCTCATTTAATGTTTATGGAAGCTTTATTACATATTAATCTCATTATAATGGTTAATTTATAAGTTCTCCTCTACGGTGGGCTATATTGATCTGATTGAAGGAGTCACATTCCTAGAAGAATGACTCCAAATTAATTTTTTCAATAAAAATCCGTCATCTTGTTTTTGGAAGATTGATTTCACTGCAACAATGAATGCTGCTCCTCTGCTGTGGTTGTACCATAATGCTTTTGCGAATAACCTTCTCTAGTGCATTGCAGATTGAACGAAGAATTGAAGAGCATGGAAAGTCTTGCTTTGGAACTGTATCCATGTAATTGATTAACGGCTTTTAAAACCATTCTACAATCTTAGCATTTATCATAATGGTAGGCAAAGTCTACTGATTTTACAGGCCTATTAAACATGGAGGAGATTTATGATATTTTCTCGTTTAGTACTGAGGACACTTAACTCTTGTAAAAGAAAGATGTTGAGGAAGAACGTTGATACTCTTGAACTGGCTGTTAACCATCTACTTCGTCTTCCTTGATATGAGAAGTTGCAAGCTTGATCGTATAGGTACTCTTAGTGAGAGCTTACAGTAGATTTAATGCTTTTATTATTATAAATTTGTTAACTAAATGAGTTTTCTTAGTCTTCTATCTGAAATCTTAGTTTATTTTTCTCTAGGAATTTTCATTAGTCAAGGATTTCTATATTTTTCCTCTATTATTGAGTTTTTTTTTTCCATGATTGATATGCAACCTCTGCAGGCATATGAAACTTGTCAGCGTGCCTTGAGTGGATAAATGAGCACGATGTGTCTGCTGAATCAATCTGCTCAAGTTGGATAGAGACTTTCTTACATTCTTGATAGGATTCTCCTATGTTTTTACAAACTTTAGAAAGTTATTGATGTTTGATGTTTCATGTAACCAACCCAACATCTCCCACCCAGATGAAGGAATTATTTGTTGACTGTAGTTTTGTAATCATTTTTTTTAGAAAATCTTTATTAACTTGGCTGTTTTTATGAATCTTTTTAAACTAACTTTGTATTGAAGTCCTCGCGGAATCGACTAGAAATTTGTCATTTTCTTGGTAGAACTACAATTACTTTATCTTAAAGGATAAAAATCTATCCCAAATAATTTTATTGATAATAAGTAGGGCACTGTGTAAATTGCAACTCATAAACTGGATGCAGGGAGAAGCTTAAACCATGATATATAACTTTTTACTCAAACTTGAGATCTCTATTCTCGAACCAGGAAACATACCACCTAAAATCTCTACCTTGTAAACCTATAGTTCTTAAATGATTATTCGTTGGGCCAAATTTTCCTGACAAGTTGATGGTTTTTCTCAAACAAGCAGGTCCATTGGATATTGTTTTCATTAAAAAATTCTATGATTTCTAGGTTGTATTGGCTCAAAAGCTTCCAAATGATGCTTTCAGCTTTTTTATACTTAGCATTTTATGTAGGATTTTAGTCGGGTTCGCCTATATCATGCTTGTATCGTGGATCCATCTTCTCCAAATCTAAACTATCCTGTGATGGGGACATCAGCAGCGATTTCTACACATGTACCTCCAGGAGATGCCGAAGATCGACGGTCACGATCATGATCTATATTTCCATCCTTTTATGTAGTAATTTATTTTTATTTCATGTTTTTCCGTTTTTGCCCTTATGAGTATTTGATAGTTATTGTAGCCCAAGGGGCATTTTAGTACTTTACTTTCTTTGTCATTTTGAGTCCTATTTATATGGCCATTTTCTCATGTAATAGTTTAGTTTTGGATGAATGAAAATTTAACATTTCATGTTCTCTTTGTGAGTGCAAACCTCCACGATCTCTTAGTGAGTTCGTAGGAGAAGCTAGATCTCTTTGTGAGTTCTAGGTTCTTTCTTGCTTTATTATTCTCTTTCATGTCTCTTGATCTCATCGTCATTGTGGGGATTTGGATTGGAACCTCTTGAGGAGGAAGTATTTGAGGCAATTGTTTTTCTTTTCCCATTTTTCTCCCTGCCGCCGGCCTCTTTGGGACCAGCCAAGAATTTGGCCGCAGGCCCCTCAGCCCTCTGCCGCCGGCCAGCCGCTGAACCACCCAGCCACCGGTGGCCCTCTCTATACCCCAGCCGCCGGCCTCCTCTCCACGCCGCCCCATAACAACCTCCAAACAACCCGCCGGTCACCTGCTGTCAAAACAAATTAAAATTTCACTTGTCAAGCGTTAATTTCCTTTCCTTTTTACAAGTTCACCTAGTAGGAAAGTGCCTAATTATTTCCCTAGGCATTTATTGGTGAATTTCAACGTACCAAGAGAAAAATCCTTTTTGGAAACCTTCGTATTTCAGCCCAAATTTGAAACTGAAAATTCAGATTTTATATGACAGTTATTTATTCTCTAGAGGGCCCACTTAATTAAAATTAATTGCCCTCTAAGCTCCCCCTCATGGCCGGCCATCCTTGGCTCTTTTCTCTCTCCAATCCTCACTTAATCAATAATTAAATATCTCCTAAATACCTCCCCATCTATCACGGAATTTCAGTTTTTATTTCAGATTTGAAATCTGAGATTTGAAAACAAAGCTTCCCTATTTCCTCTAAATTAAAACTGAAATCAGATTTCAGCTTTCTTCCCTCCCACTAAATAACATATCTTTTCCTTCTCCCTCCACCACCCCAAGACGGGTCACCTCCTTTTCCCTCTCGGGGACTCCTTCAACCCTAGGCAAGAATGCATGGCGGACCCCGAATTTGAATGGGGACTTGTGTTCGACGCTCACGGCAATCTCGACATCCAACGATCGCCGTTCTTCGACGCGGGATTTGATTCCGACGACGATACCGTTGGAGCCTACTTGGATCGGATCCTACCGACTCTCATAATCGTCATCGACAAACAACGTCCCGACTCCGAGTGGATCATTGACGGCCGCCCACCCGCTCCTCCACATCCGGCTTCTTTCCCGGCGACGAGTCCTCTTAAGATCACTTGTCTACTAGTAGCATCACTAAGCCTACTTACGATTCTCCTCCGCTAGCCACCACTTTAAAAACGTGTGACGGACCTCAAGGTAAATGATCTTTATCTTAAATTTGGGGCTTTGTTATAATTGGCTATTTGCATTACCTAGATCTTTGGTTATTATTTTGCAAGTTCTAGTAATCTCAACGTGTAATCTATTGATATTGCTTAATCTTTCAACGCTATATTCTTAAACTTTAACTTGAGCAAACAAAGAGTTATTTGGTAGCAAAGTAAAGTTCATCACTTCTATTAATATCTTAAGTGCAATTCGTGATTCACCGTATGTTGTTTCACATCATCTTGGTATCAGATCATGGCTAGCATGCTTTACTTGTGCTAGAAATTCCTAGGAAGTTAGTTACCATTTGTGTGGCTCATTTGCATGCATACCATTGCTTATTTCATAAGAATTTCCTGTTTTATTTTGCTGTCCAGAAAAATCTACAGTAATTTCTTCATGATACATAAGTATATTTCATTGTCTAAGTGCTGCTATCATCACCATAACCTCTATATTTGTCTAGGCCACTTAGACGTCTGAATTAACTTGCTGTCCACTAAATTCCTGCACTGTTTAGTGACATTTAGGTGACTTTAAACTCATGATAACTTGCTGTCCACACCCTAGAGTCCATCTAAATTGCTTAGATAACGTCGTCCATCACTTTAGTTTGCTGTCCTGTTCTCCCAACTGCTGTAGTTTGCTGTCCACACAAAATTCTGCACTGTTTGGTGGCTTTTAAGTGAGTCTGACCTTTGATTTAGGTGCTGCCCAAGCCTTAGCTACCTCCCTAAACACCAAGTGACCTAAACCCCTTTGGAAGCTTGCTGTCCAGTATTTTCTGACACCTTTTGGCAAGTCGAATTGGTGTTTTCCCTTTGTAAAGTGTGGTACCTTGCACCCAATCTTTATTAGGTTTCACTTGATGCTTTTCAATGGACCCGATAAGACTCCAAAAGAGTTTAGATGACATCGTTAGCCTAGTGGGCACTATGACTAGAATTATGACGGACAAACCTGTTGACTATCCACACTCGAATTATGTGTCACACTCTTCTTTTCAACCTAGACACGAGTTTAAGCCACAACGACCTCACTTTGAGCCACCTTACCGTCTACCCACCTTTGATGGTTCCTCAGACCCTTACTACTTTAGGGAATGGGTTAGACAATTAGAGGACTATTTTGAATCGCATGAAATCCCTAATTCTCGCCAGTTTAGCATTGCTAGGTCACATTTGAGCGGGAGTGCTCTCCACTTTTGGATGAGGTTAGAAGATCATAAAGAGTCTCGTGGCGAATACCCTACCTCCGATTGGAAAAACATGAGACGAGAACTTGGATTAAAATACCTTTCCCCTACTTATGGTCACCCATCTGTTAGTGACATCAGGGTTGCTGCCCCACCCTCTCATAAGGGCACGCACAAGAAATAGCCCTAATCCCGTGCGTTTCATTCATTCGAGTGAGAGAGGAGTCGCCGTCCCGAGCGAGAGAGGAGTCGCCGTATATCGAGGAGTCGCAGTCGAGAGGAGTCGCCGTCCCGAGCAGATTCCGGATCTGTAAGTTCGACGAGGAAGTTACAACATTTTGATCGGAAGCAACGATGGGGAGCTCGAACGCTGCGAAGGTAACTTTCACCCTTTCGCACGCTTCTTCGGCCAAATCCCGTAAATCCCGTAAATCCTGCTCAAATCCTGTTGCCAAAGAACCCCTAAATGCGACTCCTCTGACATGATTCCTGTTACAGGAAACTTGATTTTTTCTACAATTCCATTGAAGAGGGGAAACCAGCTGGTTTTACATTTGGGCATTGTCTTCTTCATTTGGAAGGAGAAGAAGGTATGTGAGATTGAAAATTTGAAATAGAGAAATGTTTCTTTCTCTTGTATTCACTTTACCTAGAAATATTCTCCTCTTGTTGCTTGACCGTAGCTTGCATGGATCTTCCTTGATTCTTGCGTGTGTTTGCTGTTGGATTGAAACGCATGTCTATTTCTAGTTGTTGTTAGATGAAGTTTATTACTTATTAGGCAATGATATTTTATAAGGTTTAAAGATTGGCTTCTTCTTTATTTTACAAATTTCATGTAGACCACAAAATATGCCTTGCTAATCATGAAGTAGATGCCAAATTTCATGCCAGCTAGTTTTACATGTTTTTCTTGCTGTAGGAATTGGATGAATCTACATGTTTTTTCTTGCTTTTGCTTTTGGTTTCATAGGTTATTCTTGCATTTTGAAATAGTGGTTTTATTGTGAGAGAGCTTTATGTTTTTATTGAAATGAGTTTGAGAAATTTTTTAAGCCTTTATTACTTCCATTTTACCAGTGCATTTTAAAGCAAAATGAGCTCTACTGCTGGTGGGAGTGGATTAGGCGAAGATTCAAAAGAACAATCTGTAGAAACTGATAAGCCATTATGGCTTCATGTTACCAAGTTAGGAAAAACATTTGAAGGAGGAGGGAATGTGTCATTCAAATGCAATTATTGTGGTGGAACCAACAAAGGATCATATTCTAGGGTGAAAGCACATCTACTTAAGATAGCTGGCCATGGAATTAAAATGTGTCCCAAGATTACTACTTCTCAGTTGACTGAAATAAACAGACAAGTTGATGAAGCTGAATGTAGGATCAAAAGGGCACTCCCTGAGGAGATACCTTTACCATCTACCCATGGTTCGTCCCATGCTTCTTCCTCATATGTTAGAGTTGATCATTATTTATCATTCAGAAGTGAAGGATATCAAACAAAGAAAAGAAAAGGAGTTGCCAGTAGTCCTTTAGAGAAGGCTTTCAGCTTACATCAGCGAGAGGAGTTGGATGGTGAAATAGCAAGGATGTTTTTTTCAGTGGGCTTTCCTTTTAACCTTGCAAGAAATCCTTACTATAAAAATGCATTCAGTTTTGCATGTAACAACAACCTTGCAGGATATGTTCCACCTGATTACAATGCATTAAGATCAAAATTATTGGAAAGGGAAAGAGCACACATTTAGACATTGCTTGAACCAACAAAAGGAGTCTGGAAAGAAAAATGTGTTAGTTTGGTGTGTGATGGTTAGACAGATCCTCAAAGAAGACCACTCATAAATTTTATGGTCGTTACAGAGAATTATCCTATGTTTATTAAAGCTGTGAATTGTGAAGGAGAATACAAGGATAAATTTTTTATTGCAAATTTGATTAAAGAGGTGATTGTCTTGATTGGGCCTTCAAATATTGTGCAGGTTATTACAGATAATGCACCGGTATGCAGAGCTGCAGGATTGTTAGTTGTTCTATATATTATATTAAAAATTAGTATGCCGTGTCCACGCCGCACCCGTGTCCTGTATTTTTAAAAAATGCCGTGTCCGTGTCGTGTCGTGTCGTGTCGTGTCCGTGTCGCCGTGTCCGTGTCCGTGCATCTTCGACCATAACATTATCATTCATAATGCTCCAATCAAATCAACAGGTTTCCAAACATCATGATGATTTGTCTACATTAATAGGATCGAGAGGTGGAGCTTCTAGAATCGAAGAATCAAATTCTATTGTTTTGCTAGAGCAAGATTAAGAAACCATTTATGTAGTGCTAGTAAAGGGCAGATAATCTCACCCTGATGTAGTTATTTGTTCCCAAATTGTAAATGCAAATATGAAATGACGGTAGAGGACAACTACTATGTTGCGAGTAGGAAGGGTCTAGCCACTTGAATGTTTCTCAATCAATTGAATATTTAATTTCTTCATATCCAAATGAGCTTTGAAAAAAAAAATTTGTACTTCAAGATTTTACAGAAAGAACAATATGGGGGATTCCTAATATCCATAACACTAACAATCCACATTTTTTATTTCAACAATAAAATAACGTTCATTTCTACAAAAAAACTCTAACCATAGAAAGCTTAGATAGATGAGCAATAGCAGCATCTACATAAAAAGATTTATAAAATATAGAACCCAATGAGTATAAGTTAGATTGATTGAAAAAAAATGTAATCGAAGTTGTGGAAAGGCTACCAAAACAAGTGTGTTTGGTGGTTCCACAGATACGTCAAAATGGGAAGTCTCCTGAGCATACGCATAAAAAAATCACATACATGGTAGGTACGTATAAAAAAGAGTCTAGTGTCATATGCACTTAAGGATAATATAATAATGATGTGATATGTATTCCAAATTGAATAATTACCCACCAAATGTAAGTCTGATAAGAATTTACGAGTGACATCCAAATTTGAATAGACAAATGATAATTTTCCTAAGATAGACAAGAAAGGACAGTTCAGCAAGTTCAGGAGAAAATGAGTACAGATATGCCGATATAGCTAAACCTTGTTGATTGTTATATATATGCAGATATGACGAAGGTCGCTTATGTGTGTCAGTGGAACTGAGTCTGGTTTAAAATGATAAGGAAGTGGCTGGAATGAGAGCGATGCAATCCCAAGCTAGATGATCTACCAATGAATATTGAAAAAGAATGAAAATTGCAAACATTAGGAGGCACGCGATCTAATGAAATGTGAGCAACCAAATGATCCTCCAAAATAGTCAGCATGAGATGAAGATGGTGAACAAATCGGAAGAACTACCGTGACCCAAGAAGGGGAGTGACTGCAATGGAATCGAGTCCGAGAAGATGGAAAGCCGACAAGTGTTTGTTTGATGGCAGCTAGAAAATGAGTGGCAAGGATCTCATGAAGTGAAAGAAATCCATCTAAAGGAGCCGACCATGAGAGAGAAGGATAACATGGTCACAGCCTAAGGCGGCTCGCCAAGAGCCATCGGGCACTACAGCGCATGCAAGTGTACATGAAAGCACTAAAGCGTACAAAAGTGTGAGCTCACAAATTCATACAGGACAACCGTGATTGAATAAACACGCAGCAAATTGAGGCCCAAATGTGATAAGGCTATAGGGGTGAGACATAACAGCATGCACAAGCACAACGATGATCTGAGCTCGAGGATGATAGCTAGGGCGTCGAGTGAGCATAAAATTAGATAAATAAAAAAAATATGCTAAAACATTCAAGTGCTTAGCGCATATGTAGTGAAAGCAATTTCCATATCAAAGAAATCCTACAAACATTGTCAGCTTCCTAGAACCTCACTCCCTCATTAAGTCCTTAAATCCCATGCACAAATGCAATCGTCACAAAAAACTTCCTCCTAACACCATCCACCACCCTGGCCACTCACTCCCTCTTTCATTAAGGTATTAAGTGCCATGCAATGAAAGCAATCATCATACAAAAACATCCTAACTCCATTCACCACCCCGTCTTCTCCCTCACATGCCTCCCTTTCCCTCTTATACACATAGGTGGATGCTTTCCAACACTCTTATTTGTGCTAGAGGACACTTGTAGATAGTTCCTCCTTCCCACTCTTATTTGTACTGATGGAGGTTTGTAGCTACTTCATGCTTCCCGCCCTCTCTCTTTCTTACATTGGTGCGTGGTTAAAAACATGTAAGACTTTCCGTAGTCTATTTCTAGGTAGTTAGTGGGCATATAAACATTTTTAGAAGCATAGGATATGTTTAAAATGTAAATAGATGCAACATACAAGAATACTTGAATATCTCTCATCCAAAGAGTAGAAAAGAAACTAACTTGCAGAAATATGCTTCCATCCAACACCAAGCGATGGTTGTGTAAATCAGTTCCACCTGGAAGCACTAACATGTCCGGAACCACGTCATCTATTTTGACCTATTTAATCACAAAGTGATCAGTAATAAAGTGCTAAAATTAATTCCAAAATTAATAACAGGAGGACACAGGAGAACAAGCATTTTGAATCAGAGTATTAAATACATTTTTTTTAGAACTCATGTACTACATCAAGGCAAGACTTTGCTAAAAGTACAAAAAAGTCAATACAAAATCATTTCTCGCAAATATAGAAGGCAAAGATTGAAGTAGGTACATGCAAGCACTCCTCAGATTGCAAAAAAGGCAAATTATAAAATCAACTGCACATCCGCTTCAAATTTGTATTATTAATTCATCTGTAGTTACATATGGTGGCATAAGCATAAGATAACAATTAACAGCATTTAGAATGCAAATATTTGAAACTACTGGAAATACTCAAAACAGCATCGACCTTATTTCATCGTATGTTAAGCAGTACACAAGGATAATATGGTCATACAGAATTGTATACTAGATATTAGAATTCCAAGGTCATGGAGAATTCCATAAATCATTAAAGGACAAAGACATTAAAAGCATTGAAGGAGCATGTGTCAGAGCTGAAGCAAGCACACCGAATTGAAGAATTTAGAAAATAATCATACACACCAAGTTCTGAAGAATCAAATGGTAAAGCTTTTGCATTAATAAACAACAATGGGATAACTTTATGCTACATCATTGTCAGAATTATCCATATCCCAACTATTTGGAATAATTGATCTTCAATATAAATAATTCCATATGCCAAGAATAAACTGATAACTGATAAGTGATGATATTAAAAGTCCTTCCATCTAATTAGTATCCCCATCTATAATTAGTGCATCATTACAAAAAGTTAAAAAGATATTCAAAAATTAAATTGATTAAAAAGCCACAAGTTGATTATCTAACATACTCTTGCCCATGAAGCTCAAACATGGACACTTGGACACGAAACCCAACACAATATGACAAAACTACAAAAAGTAGGGAATGGCAAACTATGAACACATTACAATAACAATAACAAGCCTTTATCCCACTACGTGGAGTCAGCTACATGAATCTTTTTTTCCTCCATTTTGTCCTATTAAGAGTCAAATTCTCCTTCAAATCTACTTAAAAAAAGTAATTTTAATATTTTCTAACCAAGCCTTTTTAGGTCTACCTCTCCATGGACACATTATATTTTATAAATTATTAATATTAAATCTATAAATTATATTAATATCTACGACAAGGCATTACAAAATGAGGTATAATTAATCCTTTCAAGTTTCAATTGTCAAGTAAACATAAGTAATACACAACAATAACAGCATCAAGCATTTGTCCAACTACGTGGGGTCGGCTACATGAATCATTTTTCTCCATTGTGTTATGTTAAAAGTCAAATTGTCGTTTAAATCTAATAAAAAAAGATAATTTCTAATATTTTCTAACCAAGTCTTTTTAGGTCTACCTCAACCTTTTTTAACATAAGTCAAATCTACTACCTCTACTTTCCTAACCGGGCCATCGGAAGACTGCCATTTTATGTGACCAAACCATCTAAGGCAACTCTCTATAATCTTATCTTCCACTGGAGCTAATCCAACCTTTTCACGTATATGCTCATTTCGTATCCTATCTCTAAGGGTAAAGCCACTCATCCACCTGAGCATCCTCATCTCTGCAACACTTAACTTAGTATTATGCTTCTCTTTTAATGGCCAACATTCGGCACCATAAAACATTGCAGGTCACACCACCATCTTATAGAATTTTTCCTTAAAATAAACATAAGTAATAAACATAAAAATGCCTTATGACAAAAGCATTCATCAATCCATTTCAATTGTCACATATTTTTACACAAAATATTAAAAAACCTCTTAAAAAGTTGATATCAATGCCCCATTCAAATTAATTGAAGCTAACACAATCCACGTTAATGTTCATCATTAGCACTACTACTCGTGCCCTCTTCAAATGACACCTTCATCTTTAACTAGAAAAGACAGCTCATCAAGAGAGAGATTAACAACTTTAGGTATTCCAATATCATCCATTGTAGTTAATGTATCCACACCAATGTCTCACAAATTAGTCTCTCATTGAGTATATTCTAAGTTCTTATATAAAAGCCAAAGATTTGCATGCACAAATACTAAATCTTCACACCATTGAGTAACGATCTTGCTCCCTTGAGTGAACTGATAAAAGAGTATGTGCTCCAATTTCTTTCGCAACATAAGGAGGAACAAGGTCGAGTTAACAATTTAAAAGCATAACTTTGTAGTCGTGGGGAACTAGCACCATATATCATCCTCTATGGGATTGTTATTAATAATATTAGTGCCCATCTTAAATGTCACTATCCTAGCAACCAACAAAAGAAATGAGTTTATAATTTGTATGATTTAATTGACTGATTGAATATATTCTCACATTAGAAATATGTTGGTTGCAAATCATTGTACCATTGATTTTTTTTCTGAATAAAATTTATTTCAATTTTCTAAAGCATTCAAATCATGTACCATTAAAGTTTAATCACTATTTGATTAAAAATGTTACTAAAACAAAAAATAATTTTAATTCATAAAAAAATTTTAAGTCATTGAAGTATTAGTTATAATTTAAAATGTGTGACTTAAATTTTTTTTTTTTAAATTGAAGAAAACTTTTATCATACTTTTTTTAACAAAAATGGTAGTTTACATATATTTTATATTTAAATAATTAAATCACTTGGTGCATTGACATGGAAAAGACTAAACAAATTTTCACTTGTTATTGGTGACGACAGATGAGAACATACAAGTAGAAAATGAATAAATAATTTAGTAAAGAAAGGGTAGAGTCTTAAATGACAATGTGTGCTTCTTAAGAAATCTTTATGTATAGTAATGAATATAAGAGAATATTAGCTAAATCAAAGAATAAGGAAGAAAGGGCTATGATTAAAGCCTATCAGAACAAATTAAATCACTAACCAAGCCAACAAGACTTGAGATGGAGAGACCAGGTCGATTTTAGGTGCTTCGACGAAGACCAGAGGCGAGATGGCAATTGGGTTTAACTAAGAATCGAGAAGGGAAAACAAGCAGCACAAAGAGGAGAAGTGATAGTGCGGGATGGAAAACTGCTTTGATGAAGAATATAAAAGAGATGGTGAGTGGCATCGACGAAAAGGAGAGACGAGAGAGCAAAATTGAAATGAATAAAACACGAGTATACATATGCGATTTAAGGCTACACTATATGCGAATTAGGATTTATTTTGAGTTTCGCAATTCCAGATCCAATGTTCCACATGTGCCCTGCATGTCCAACTATTGTCAGAGTCCAATTATATATTTAAATACCTAGGGCACAATTTTTTTAAGTGTGGGACACATGTCAAGTCATGTCGAGCATTTGTCCGTATTCGACACAAACACAGGAGGCAATTTGGAGTGTTTGTGCTTCCTGAACTCTTGCCTAATATAAAATGCAAAAATAAAAAGAAAAAGAAAAAAATTATGGTGTGAACACAGTTTACAACTTATAAGTTATATCCATTCATGTAATCAAATAAGAAATGACTTATTGAACTAAAACCTTCTTAATTAGGCAACACCATTATGGGATGATAAGTAACAATCGGTTAGCAAGAATTTGGCACACTATTCATAAGTTTAAGAAACCATAAAGTAGAACTTGCCACCTCAAGCTTGGAAAGGACTATTAAAACTATTTGCAAGGTGCATCACTGAGGATATGGGGAATACCTTGGCTATTCTCTCTAATTCCTGGATTGCAGTCTCTGTATTAATCTTCAGTGTATTTACACGGACATATCGAGGTTTGGGTAAAACTGCAGATGAAAATCAACTGAATTGTCAAGAAGCATAATCAGAGAAGAAAGCATGCCATCTAGTTTGATCAAAGGTTCAACTTCCAAAATAGATTTTATAGTACCATAATAATCAATTATTTCAGCTGGATGCCTCTTTCAGCATCAGGATAACTTCGAAATGAAAAAGATGAGATAATACACATTTCTCTAGTTGAAGCTTAATCATAAAAATAGCGCCAAGTTTGATAAAAAGAGAAGAAAGCAAGCCATATAGTTTGATAAAACGTTCAACTTCCAAAATGAATTTTAGTGCCATAATATTCAATTATTTCAGTTGGATGCCTCTTCTAGCATCAGGATAACTTCAAAATCAGGTCACATGACTAGCAATAGAAACGTATATGATATGATAATACACATTCCTCTAGTTGAAGCTTAATCATAAAAATAGCATAAATAATGCATTAAGTTTCCAGAAATGCAAGATTTAGATGTATGTTTTCTTACCCCTATATTAATAAAGAGGAGTAAAAGCCTAAAATAGTCCCCCGACTATTTGTAAATGCTCAATTTAGTCCCAAACTTTTATAATAACTCAATATAGTCACCTGACTATTAGAAAATATCGTAATTTAGTCCTCATACCAAAAGTAACAATTAAAACTAAACCCAAAAATTAAATGTGGGGCATTTTGGATATTAGGGTTTATGTAAGATTATATTATTATTTTTATATATTTAGTTATTTATCATATTAAAATAAATACAAAAATCATAATGGAAGTTAACCAACTAAATAACAATAGTGAATAATCAATAAATATAGTTAACTTCCATTATGATTTTTGTGTATATTTTAATATGACACAACAACAACAATAACATCAAGCCTTTGTTCAACTACATGGGGTCGGCTACATGAATCCTTTCTCGCCATTATGTCCCGTTAAAACTCAATTTCTCGTTTAAATCTAATAAAGAAAGATCATTTCTAATATTTTCTAACCAAGTCTTTTTAGGTCTACCTCTACCTTTCTTAACATGAGTCAAATCTAATACCTCAACTTTTCTAACCGGGTCATCAAAAGGCCTCTGTTTAATGTTACCAAACCATCTACGGCGATTCTCTCTAATCTTATCTTCCATTGGAGCTACTCCAACCTTTTCACGTATATGCTCATTTTGTATCCTATCTCTAAGGGTAAAGCCACTCATCCACCTAGATAAATGATAAAATATATAAAAATAATAATATAATCTCACATACACTCTCATATCTAAAATACTCTCATATTTAACTATTAGGTTTAACTTTAACTGTTTCTTTTGGCAATGGAGTCAAATTGGGACATTTTCTAATAATCGAAGGACTACATTGGGTCATCATGAAAATCGGAGACTAAATTAGGCATTTATTAATAGTCGAGGAACTATTTTAGGATTTTACTCTAATAAAGAGGTTATTTCTAAGTTGAAGCCATGACCTTCAGATCATAATGGTGGCAATCTTACCCCTACTATAGGCCTACTCTCTAGTCGTAACTTGAAAAAAGATAAGCTAAGCAATAAGTAGTACTGATGCAATCATTCATACAACATATATATGAAAGTCTCAGAGAGATTCCTCAATTCATAACAAAGAATAATGGGGAGGAAAGACAAAACTACAAAACTAGTACTTCCAATTTCTTTCCCAATTATGATGCTCTAAACATTAATGCCTACCGCAGAAAGAGAGTAGTAACATCTATCTTATACCATTCAACAAATTGCAAACAAGCTTAGGTATAGTTGCTTAAATAAAGAAATATGGCCAAGAGTAGTGTACCATTATCAAGGAAGAGGTGAAAACAAACCGTGATTTTGATTATCTAGAAGCAATTCTTCAATGCACTTCACTGCCTTTCGAGTGCAAAGCTTTGATAGAGCTGATTCAAGGGCATCTTTATGAAGAATAAGAAGTTTTTCTGCCGCACCTGTCATTCCAATTTTCTGAAGGAAGAATATCACTTTTTAACAATAAAATCTGCTGCAGGAAAAATAAAGAAGCTTGAAACATACTAATGAAAATATAAGATTCTACTAGTCAGTGCCCTAAGTGGAAGGGTATAAATTCCAGCCATAGAACCATTATTTTACCTCTTTTCCTTCCTAACCTGTCATATTTTCCATCGATCCATCTTTTTCATGCAACTTCTATCCTCCAATATATGCCCAAATCACCTAAGATTTTTCAACTTCCTTAACTTCAATAGATATTATGCCCAATATTTTTCTAACACAATTATTTTTCACTCTATTCTTCTTAGTTCTACCCTACATCTTAGCATTCTCATTCCAAGCACACTCAACTTGGTTATCAATCACTTCGTTTCTCAGCACTTAAATCTATATAGCAAGCCTGGTTTGATTGTAATTACATAAAATTTACCTTTAAGTATAAATAAAAATATTCAATTCTCACATAACACACTTGAGGTACTTCTCAGCAGTAATTGTTCATCTTTAACCCTAGAAGTTATGTTATTATCAATGTCCCCATTCTTTTGTGCGATAAATCCAAAATACTCACACTTCTCAGACTTAAATATTAATTGATCTTCCATAATATGAAGCTGCAACAAAACATCTTGGGCATCAAAAGCCTCAAAATATAAGGCTGGATGAATGGCAGCATGTACATGCGAACTAGATAAGGGAATTTTAATAAGTAAAATTTTAGAAAATTATCATGGAAGAAAGAATTCACTCAATATGCATGCTAGCTAGCTTTTTGTTGACACGCATGCATTTCCACGGGAGTTTGCAAATCATTTAGCAGGTGATTTTCAAATAAATAAATTGATTCAGTTTATGATCTTATAGGCCTTTATAAATCAGAATAAAGAACATCTAATCAGATATCAAGTGCTCAGAATTCAATTTGAACTACTATGAACCAGATGAAGGAATATTTTGCTAATCACAATACACGGCCAAAAAGGATCATATATGAATAAAGATTTCAAACCAACCTGCCCAAATAGAACATCATATGCAGTCACATATATGAGTGTAGTTTGCTTCTGCAAGAATAGATTACCATAAATTTCAAAAATTAATCCAGTTTTCAAAGCAAGCATTTAAAAAATAAAATGATAAGCTTTAACTGGCTAACCAATCATATGTGTTTTGAAAAATAAAATTCTTAGATGCATGAATATTATAAATGTTTATACATTTTTTTCACCTTCCACTTCGCACTTAGTACATTTGCTGCAGCTAATACATTCTTTAGAACAGGTAGATCTGTGAAAAGAGTAAAATGAAGAAATAGCGTTTCACAACTAAAATGAAGAATGAAAAATCAAAACAAATGCTTATCAGTTATGTCTAAACAATGCGTTGAAGCATGACTGAAATAAAACACAAAAAACTCAAGTTCTTACAAAGCAAGTGGATCAAGAAAATCCATGGCCAGATATATCTCTACAATGTTTGATCATTTAAACATGAAAAGAAAAAATTTTTAATTGGTGATTAGCTTCTTTTAACAAGGACAATACAGAAATGTTGCAATAACAACCAAGAGGAATAGAATTAAAGGAATCCCAGATTAAACTTCTAGGTTGGGGACCTTAAAAGTTTAAAATAATGCCAATGTAATTAAGTTAGATTACGTAGACAGTTATATAAATATGATAATTTATGAACAAAATGACAAACAAATATGCGTTTCTGAGCAACAAAAAATTATTGAAGATTTATGTTATATCCTAATTTGTTGCATTGAGGGAATATTATGAGATTTATTATTTATATTGAAAATAAAAAAAATTATTTATATTGAAAATATTTTGGAGATAATTCTAATTCATCAATAGCATTCATCTATAAATAAGCTTAGTGTGGAAACACAAGAACTCTATAACAAATTTATTTGGTAACCGAGGGCATGAAATGATTTGATTAAATTGAATAAATAAGATTATATCATTGAATTTTTACCGCCACTGTACAAGAAGAAAATTAATTTGATGCTGCTTTTAGTACTCATAAGTTGATTGAGATCATGAATACAACTGAAATGATGATACTGTATTATCATGAGTTGAGCGAAGATGTAAAATTTAGGGACCTTTTTTTTTTTTGAAGATGGTAGGACTGTTATATCCTGATTTATTGGGTATAGTGCACGTGATGAGATGAACAATCCTATAAATCTATGAATCAAAATGAAAAAAAAATTTGCTTCACCACTTAATCAACGTAAGCCTCTTCTAATTCAACTTAACTGTATACCACTATCTTTTTGTAAATAGAAACTGAAATGCAGCTTTACCTAGTGTTGACATTATGAACAATAACAATAAGACACAAGCACCGTGTAGTATAAGATATCTTCTGCATGGTCAGGCATCTATCAAACATCATCTTAGTAAAATCTGTCCAAATCTAATATAGCTTTCCAATAGCTAGCATCAAATGGATAACAACCAAACATGTATATTAATTTATCTTGAGAGATTTTATGTTTATAGATCAAATTAAAAGTGAAAATTATATTCACTTCATTGAGCTGATGAGCAACTAAGTCTTACCCAAGGTAATTAAAACTCAAAATGATCCCCTTCTATTAACGGAACAATCCAGACAGAAAAGTCAATACACTTTTCAAAATCGGATACTCAAGGAAATATCTTATTGTATGTTTTAAGAAAATTTTGCCGAGTAGACTACACAAATAAATTCTCAATCAATCTTGCTTTAGTTGACTTGTTTAACTACACTTTAAATTAATCAGTGTCATCTTGTAAAGATAGCTAAGAGATTGTTTGGTTCAGTGGTACCCATGTTATGTTATTTAAAGATTTCAACTGTTTCGTTCATCAATATCTTCAAATCTCATATCAAAAATGACAAAAACATCATAATTTTACTTTCACTAGATGTTGGCCAAATCATCCGACAATTAAAAAATCCAATAGCAATATTTTAATATAAATAGCATTGATATTCCAACATAATAACACTGGTATAAAAATTGTAGTATTTGACAAAAAACACTAATATCTAATAACACAAACATCTCAATAAACGGACATCTCAATAACCTAATCCCTAAATGTCATGAAATGCAATAGAAATTCACTCAGTGAGATACAAGGATGAAGAAGAAGAACAACAACAACAACATCAAGCATCTATACCACTAAGTGGGGTTATTACATGAATCTTTTTTCTCCTTTATATCCCATTAACAGTCAAATTCTCATTTAAATTTAATAAAAAAAAGTTTATTTCAAATACTTTCTAATCAGATTTTTTTGGGTCTACCTCTACCTTAACATAGATCGGATCTAATACACCTACTCTCTCAACCGAGTCATCGGAAGGCCAACGTTTTATGTGACCAAACCATCTAAGACGACTATCTCTCTAATCTTATTTATCATCGGAGCACCTTTTCACGTATATACTCGTTTCGCATTTTGTCTCCAAGTTTAAAGCCACTCATCCACCTGAGCATCCTCATCTCTCCAACACTTAACTATATGCTACTCTTTTAGTGACCAATTGTTGGCTCAAGAAAAACGGCACGAATGCATGAATCCTGCTTTGCAGCTGTAGGATTCAATTTCCCTTAAGTTAGATTGCAATTAATCAGATTTCTCCTAAGGATAGTGTCAGGGTTTAATTAGATCAGAGGCCCTTAATTCCCATGAGCGCAAGCTGATACATGCAAATTTCAGTTTATTTTAATTTTTTAATTGTAATTTGAATGCTATAATTTTTTTTTAATACTACCCTATGATGGAAAGCATCCAATAATCATGAGTAGGTAGTGCTTGGGCTTGGCAAACTTTGGGTGTGCTATCTATTTGGTTCCTTGGTTCTTGGGTTGCTGGTTGCTCTCGGGTTGGGCTTGGCTACTCGGTTTTTGGCTGTGTTTTTTTTGAGCTACTATGTGTCAGCTCATTAATGTTTGAGCTGTTGTTTTTCAGCTCATTATGTTGGGAAGTTATCCTCCTTTTTAGCTCATTATGTGGAGTGTCTCTTGCCCTTTCCCCTTCCCTTTGGCCCTTCGGTTTTCCTTGCTTGGTTGTCTATTCTGGTTCCACTAGCTACTGTTCTGGTTCCCCTGGCTGCATGTCCCGATTCCCCTGGCCGTCCGTTCCTTCCTCATTGACTGCTTTTTCTAGTTTTTTGTGTGGTTGTTCGGGTGTTGTTTCTGGACTGAATGTTGCCCTTCCATTTCCCCTTACCTGATTGGTTCGGTTGGAGGTGGTTTGGTTGTTTGGCTGCCCCCTTTTCTCCTATAAATTTGAGGTGTTTTGAAGCATAAGAGGTTGTTGATTATTAAGCTAAGTTCTCTTAAAAAACCTAAGGATTTCTTCTTTGGAAGGCTTGCAATCTTGTCTGATTCTCTCTTCTTCTCTACAATTTCGTCTTTGGCTTCTTATCTCCTTTTTCTATCCGCAAGTTTCACTCTACTTGTATCTTTCTTCTTAAGCTATTGGAGGTGTTAGTTGGCAGATTTGGTAGCATTTGCCGGGGGAGTTTTGGTGGACGTTGGACCTAGTAGCTGTGGTGGACCCTTGGTTTGCATGCCCTTGAGCACATCTTTTATATTGCCTACTATTTTGTTGCATGTGAGGAAATCGCTTGCCGGTTGTTCTAAGGGTGGTGGTTTTTATTTTTAATTTTGTTTCGTTTGTTTGGCTTTCGTTTGTTTTTGAAGTTTGATTGGATGTTGGTATTCTAAGTGTTGAATCAAGTCATGTTCTACTAGTCCTAGTGTTCTTCTCTCTTGGCTTCCTCAATCTAGTTATCCGCATCAAGTTTGGTATCAGAGCCTAGGTTAGCATATCCTAGGTTGGTGTGTGTGTCTTTTCTTAAAATCGCAAATGGGTAATCAAAATAATCAAGAGGATTGACAACAAATGATGCAACAATTAGCGGATTTGCAACACCAAATTAAAAAACATGGCTAATACTCTTACAAATTTGAATGTCAACAATCCTAACATTAAAATTTCTGAAAGTGAGGAGTAAGTCCCTAGAAACCAAAATAGGTATCAAAGAAATTGGGATTATGGGATTAAAATCGATGTCCATAACTTTGAAGGTAAACTACAACATGACCAATTCATCGAATGGGTAGAAACGATGGATCAGTTTTTTGAATGGAAGAAAATACCGGATGATAGAAAGGTTAAATTTGCTAGCTTAAAACTCACTAGTCATGCATTAACATGGTGGAAGAACCTACAAAATAATAGGCTAAGGAGAGGGAAAGAAAAAATCCAAAACTAGGAAAGGATGAAAGAGAAAATGAGAGTGAAATTTCTGCCTTCAGACCACACATGAACTATATTTCAAGAATTTAAAAACCTTTGTCAAGGAAATCAAACGGTTGAAAAATACACTGAAATTTTCTATAAACTCCAATCTTTAAATGACTTAAATGAATTCGAGGAAAGAATTATTACTAGATACATCAATGGATTAAAATGGACAATTCAAGATCAACTAACTCTGCAACATATAATTAAACTCGGCGAGGCTTATCGTATGGCTCTAAAAATTGAAAAGCCACATCAACGGGGTCATAACAAAGTAACTGAAACTTATAAACGGTGACCAACTAGAGGAATTAAAACTCAATCTTCACAAACTTCTATAGGAACATCTGGTGTGTGAACTAAAACATTTGAAACTCATTTGTTTTATTTGGAGTTGGGATAGGACTCATGACTTCCCTTAGGAAGTTGCCTGAAAGCGGTCTTACAACTTAATTCTTTAGGCTAAGATGCCCACCAAATAGCTGTCAATGCTTTAGTGTATTTTGTAGAGGAACTTACAATAGAAATTTCAAGTGCTTTCAACATGGATTAGTATCATAATTATTGTATTTCAAATATTAGTTAAAGATGAAATTATCTCTTGAGACTTTTGCCTTGATTTTTCAACAAGATATATCCGTGTGATTGGATTTAGGTAGTGACTTAGGGCTTTCATTTGAAAGTATTTGAAAGTAGCCCGATTAGTGGGACTTACGACCCCTACTAGGGGTGGCCCGAAGATTTTGGTTGGATAGGTCTTATGGCTTCCTTAAAAGTTACCTAATAATGGATTATTACGACCTACCCCTATAAGCTAAGTGGCTCAAGTGGTGGGTCTTACAACCTAGCTCTATAGACTATGATGCCCGGGTGAGGGGTCTAGGGTTATCTTATTACCTAAACATTTATCTCATATATCGAACTTATGGCTTCTATTAAAAGTTGCACGGAGATGGATCTTAC